AATAAAAAAAATAAAAAAAAATGAAAACTACCCTTTGAAACATCTATTATTAATTAAAAAAAATTGTTTTTAATATTATTAAAATTTTATTTGTGATGAAATTAAAATATTTTGCTATATACTCAAATCAATAAAATCACACCACCCACCCACCCTCCCCAATGCATGAAAACCTTCTTTCCCCTGCGCTGCCCCCCCCCCCCGTTTTTTTTTTAGGTTATAAGTAGTAGTAATAACAAAACTTTGAATCTTTTTTTTAATTTTTATTTTTTTTTAAATTAAACATTGTTATTCTGAAACTTTATGTTTTACAAAATCAAGAATCAAACACAAGAAAATTTTTCAAACACGTGTTTTTGTTGATTCAATTTGTCTGTATTAAAAATATAAGTTATAAACTAAGTAAAAAATGATGACGATTGTAATGTCTAAATATTATATTACATATTATTAAACTCAAGAAATAAATGTTTACAATATTATATTAGCAATTATGTTACAGAATAAAAACTATTGTAAGTACTTATTTTATAAACTCTTTTACAAAGATAATGTACAATGTCACTTTCTTTTCTGACTTTGAGACTCAAAAAGAGCTTTATAAAATTCCTGATCTATGTCATGAAAATATTTAAGCATTGACTTGAGGTCCTCAATTTTTTCATCTGACAATACAATTTCTTTTGAATCACTTTTCAATGTAGGGAATTCTATAGGAGATTTTACTTGCCCCTTTTTCCTTCTTTGAGGAGTACCTTTTACTAATCTTTCTTCAACTAATGGACCTGAGAATGATAGTTTGAATTTAATATGAAAAGGTTGTTCTTTTTCATACACAATTTGCTTCAGTTTTGAAAAAGAAACATTTTTGAAATATAAACTTTCAGAAGCAATTTTGAAGTTTTTAAAGTCCTCTTTGCTAATTTGAATAATTTTTAATTCTACTTTACTAGTTTTGTCAATAGATAACAATAACTTAACTAAGGTAAGAGGACTGTGAATTTTAACATCTATCAAATTTCTCTCAATCACACTGTGCACAGCATCAATATTTTGCACTGAACTATGACCAGGTTCACAATACTTCTGCTCAATAAGAGTTATTTGATATTCACTTTGGAACATTTTAATTGCCATAGCCATTATTGAACTCTTGTTCTGTGGTACACAAGAATCAGACCACAAAATAATATGATTAATTATTATGTTTGGGCAATCTTGAATTATTATTTTTAATATTTTGTAAATGCAACTTGCAATATCATTTGCTCCTCTACCTGCTATAGATTTATTCCAAAGTGCACAATATGTTTTGTTATTTAATAAACAGTGTGCAGTTAAATTATAGCAATAAATTTTTTTTTTTATAGTAACATACTGACACTGGAGACATTGGGAGGGGGAAAACCTTTTCAAGATCAAAAGTAATATTTGCTGTTTTTTTGTACTCTCCACAAGACACCTTAGCAAGGTCACTATCTCTCTCTTGTTTAGTTAATAATTTACTCTCTCTATGATTTATTATTCTTTCATGGTCATCTTTATATTTGTATTCTTGGCATAAAGCACATAAATCTTTCCAAGGCTTATAAAATGCCAAATTGAATTCATTATTGAAAATTCCATAGTATACATCTTTTTTTACTTTTAACTCAGGGTAGGCTTCTGTAAATAACCTGTGCATTTTAAAAGTGCTCAATGAAGAAGCTAAATATTCTTTTTTAGTGTTTTGCCTACAGTAGTGGGACTCCACTCTTGGGAAACTATTGATACATTCCCTGATCTTATCTAAGACCTGTTCAGAAATTTTCCTAACATTCTTTTTGCCTTTACTTGGACACCTTGGCATACTACTTGCATTGTTAACTACCTTATCAAAACTAAAGTAAATTTTCCTTTCACTGATATGTAAAGTATTGAGAAAGAATAGTTTACATACTTTGGTTCTAACATTATTTTTTTTAAAATGATATTTATATAAAAAGTTTTTATTTTTCTCAAGTCTCTCTGCTTTATTTTTTCTTTTACAACCCCACTTTTCTATATTTTGTGTGTAAAAATAAAGTTTTTTAGAGTCACTTAAGTTTCAGTAGTTAGAATGGATTTCTTTTCTATCATTTAAACTAAACACCTCACCACATTTTAGCTTACATTATGGCAAACATGAAGCACCAACCTTTCTTTCTTGCTTCTCATTGCCTTTTCTATCAGTGTAGGCTTTACCACTCTGCCTCTGATTTTTTCTTATGTTTCTTTGCCATGTGCTTTCATTTCTTTGCCTCTTTCTTGTTAGTTTTCTGCAAAATTATAATAAACTGTTATCTAGAATGTTTTTTGTTTTTCTTTGCAAAAGAAAGTTAAAGCAATATTAATAAAAAATATACAGTACAAAATATTTTAATAAATCAATTAACATATGCATTATTTTTATTAACAATAATAAGAAAATTAATGAATAAGAAATAATTAAAAACAAAAAAGAAGAAGAATTGATTTGGAAAGTATAACAAAAAATTATCATTTGTAAAAGCATGTCATTTTTAATCAAATTTTCAAAGTTATATTTACTTTTCACTCTCAGGAGAAATGATAGTGGGAGTGCTGGTGGTAGTAGATGAAGGATTTTAGTCCTCTGTCACTTGTCCGTGATTTACCGTCTCCATTGTAAGATGGGTATGAAACACACTCTCGTTATCAGACTCCAATATAATGTTTTGAAGAACTTATTTTTAATGGCATTGTCATACAGAGTTCGTCGTGTTTTCGCAACATTAAACCTTCTGTAAAAAACATTATTCAAATTATTATTATTTTATTGTGTTTTCGCGATATTAAACCTTCTGTAAACAACATTATTCAAATAATTATTATTTTAAAGTTAAAAAATCTTTTGCTGCAATTTGTATTGAATAGTTCAAATAACTTTATTGAATAAAGTTATGTAACAACTCAAATTTAATATTGTAATTAAAAGTACAGGTATATATGTATATATATATATATATATATATATATATATATATATATATATATATATATATATATATATATATATATATATATATAAATATATACATATATATATATATATATACATATATAAACATGGGAGCCCACAAAATGTTTTAAGCAATAAAAAATGAGAACTTGTATCTGAGCTAGTGATTTTCCAACTAATAGGCAAGTAGTTCAATATTCAGACCTTATTTTAAAAATATAAACAGAGTTCTTTAAAAATAAGTTCTTCAAAAATGGTTTCAAAAGTATTGATTGATCTTATCAATCTTTAGAGTAAATCCTTAAATCTTTAAAGTAAAGCTTCCTCTGATACATGAAAAGTCTGTAGCCAAGAAATGTATTAGACTTTTTACAAGAGAATTATCTGCAGAAGGCAAATTTAAAAATGCAAAAAAAAAGCAAAAAGTATCTTGATTACAATTTTGACCATTTATTTGATTTGTCATCATTTAATTGTGGACTTTTAGTGGTAGCTTGCAATAATAGATAAAGACGATTTCCTATTATTGTTTTTTCATAAATCATTTTTACTTTAATTAAATTTTATTTATTATAATTATAAAATAATTTTAGGTTTTGCAGTTGTACTTTCTCTTTGATTTTTATTTGGATAACTAAAAAAACTATTTTTTAAATATTTATATTTTTATGGATCTGTGAAGTGAAGGAGCCCTTCAGATTGCAAAATAGTACATTTTTCTTTTCTCTGTAAACAAAAAGGTAAATAAGTTAAAACTACAAATATTATACATATTTAACTTAGATCTTTGTTGAGCATGTAGTTTTCTTTTTTGAATGATAAATACAAAGAATTATTATTTTTTATATCTCTGTCTAATAATCTTTTGAAACCCAGATTGATATACTTTAAATATTTTTAAATAAATGATTTCATAAAAGCATTTATTTAAAAATTAAATAAATGCTTTTATGAAAAATTAAATAAATTTAAAAAGACTCGTAAAAAATTTCATAAAACATAAGATTTATTTGATTTGTTTGTAGCAACCCATAAATTGTTATTATTTGAATTGTTATTGAATTAAAATAAATATTTGTTGCTTATTTTTGTTTAATTTTTTAATTAACTATTTTAATTAACTTATTTTAAATTAAATTCAAAATGTTTCCATAGTTAAAAATATTTGCAATCAAGCACACAAGTTTAACAGTTTTCAAGAAGAATTTTTCATAATATATTCTAATAGTTCAAATAACTTTATGATGACTTTTACTTGAATATATTTCAAACTAAAGTTAAATTAATAACAACAACAAATTTAAATCAAGAAGCACTAAAATTGTTATTTAGATAAGTTCCCCATTTAGCATCCTAGTTAGTGCAAACCATCTTTTATGTTTTAAAATTTTTATTTTGTTAAATACATCTTGTGCATACTGTCTTTTGAGCATACCTTGTGTTACTGAGGAATATAAGTTATAAGTTCATCAAACCCTTTAATTACTTTTTTTGCAAACAATAAATAAGAAGTTGGGAAGTCAAAATAGCATTTTTGTTAAACAGAGAGAGGTATGCTGATAATACATAACTATTTACAAGCATTAACACCAATTTGCAATGCTAAAGATTGCTCTTGAGGGCATTATATTGAACACACATAATCATTCTAGTTGACAATGGATTTCACTTTTAGAAGCGTGAAATAGCACGCCAGGCAAATTTCTTTATTACAACTTCTGTAAACATTTAAAAAGAACACATCTGTTTAATTTACTTTACACCCTTTCATTTTACATTTATTTAACACCCTTTTATCTATAGATGATCTTATGAAAGCATTAAAAAAGTGTCAAATTTTAAAACAATATATAAAATATTTAATATTTAAACTTTCATTTAATATATAAATTTTTTGTTATTTTTTCTATAGTTTTGAGTTTTATATAAAACAAAAAAAACTAAAAATTAAAAATTTTAAAAAGTAAATGCTGCTATTTTAAAAAAGATATTGATGACTTACGATATTTTAAAATGTTACACTCCCTTGTTCTATTCATAAAATATCCATAAAAATCATTATAACGTGACCAATCACTCCATTGCGACCAAACAGCTAAATTAACAAATTAACTACAAAACAAGTATAAAACATAAAAATAGACACAAGAATGTTTTTCATAAACTTATTTTATAAAATCTAAATACATATATTTTTTTATGCTACAAGAGCAGGCTTAACGATGTTTACATTGCGCTTTTGCACCTTGTCTAAAACAAAAAGAACATTATTGAAAAATCCAAGGATTGAACCTTGAGGAACCCCTGAAGTTATAGGATATGAAGAAGAGTGCTGTCTATTGAGAACAATTTTTCTACTACGATTGGTAAGGAAGGAATCAATAATCTTAAAGATGTTACCTGATACACCAAAAGATGAGAGCTTATGGAGAAGACCAGCATCCCAACCTTCATCAAAAGTTTTAGAAATGTTGAGAGCAATGACCTTAGCTTCTCCACATCTATCTAATGCATGAAAAAATCTACCAGTTATTACCGTTAATAAATCAGATGTAAAACAAGAAGATCGAAATCCAAAATGATGATCAGAAATTTGATAGAATCAAGATGAGAGATTAAGTATTTGTTAATTAAAGATTCAAAAACCTTTCTTATGATAGGAAGACTAATGGGACAGTAGTTAGACGAATCAGATTGTCTCCAGAATTTTGAAAATAGGTATAACAGATACCGCTTTCCAGCATGCTAGAAAACAAGACTCTAATAAGCACTTGTTTAACAATTTTGAAAGAAAAGACAACAACTCCAGAGAACACTTCTGCAAAACTTTAACAGAAATGTTAAATAGATTACAAGCTGTAAAAGAATCAAAGCAGGAAATCACTTTAGATACAGAAACTGGAGTGATACGAATGTCAAGCAAGCGATCAACCTGTTTGATAGCTATATCAGGTAGAACACAACTAGTGGAATCAATTTTTATAATTTTTATTTACATGTTCATTTATCAGTTAATTAATATGTTAAAAAAGAACTTTCGGTCCAAGATAATTAAATTTCAAAGATAAAATGTATAATACTTACAATTATATTCATGATTGTTTGAACAATCATGAATATAATTGTAAGTATTATACATTTAATTTCAATTGTAATTAGATTTTCATTGTTTAATATCAAATTTTTTTATTGTCATTTAAGTCAAAACTACAATTGTTTTTAATTTTTTCAATATGTTCAAATTGTAATAAACAGTAACTTTTAAGTTATAATATTGTTTAATTAGATACTGCGCGGCTGTGGCGTAGTGGTTAGAGTTTAGAACCAAGAGTTTGTGGCTGGCTCTAAATCAATTGGTGAGGAAGGAGATTTCAACTTTTTTGATATAGGTTATATATTAGATATCAAGCGGAGATGACTAAGGATTTGATTTCATGTTAACTTGAGTCAAGACTTAAAAGGTTAAATGGTAATATAGAAATCTTGATATATCATTGTTATTTACAAGTAATGTCCAGCCTAATTGCATTAAACATTTACTGTTAAATAATAGTTTTAGATTCCCTGCAGACTGCCTGTCAGTACTTGCAATTGAAACTGATGATAGCAATTGAAATATTTAAACAGCATTATAAATTTGTGTCATATTGAGTATTTATTTTTGTTTTATTTATGTTTTTTTTTAACAATTATAATAAGTTATATAAATATTAAATAGTATTAGTATTTTGTTTTTAAAGTTGCTTTGAGGTGATTAATGTGTAACAATAAACAATAATATTAATGAAAATTATTCTTTAATCTGGCTATAGTTATCTTACATGTTTAGTATTTATATACTGTATTGAGTGAGCTTGTGTTTTTTACTTTTTTTTTAGGTTGCCTAAGGGTTGCTTGTTATGTGTAAGATATGACACACTGCATGGTATGTCTATAATAATCTTATTAATAAATATTTCTAATCTACGTTTCTTTATATATACTATGTATTATTATATTATTCAAATCTTTATTTTTACTTTATAAAAATAGAACAAAATTGGATGAAAGCACTAAAGAAAGAAATCGATAAAAATTAAAGCAGAATTTTGCTATGCGATTATGTTGGCGTAATAAAAAAACTACTGACAAAGAATTAAACTATTGTCTAACAGTTTTAAATCAAATTATTGTATAACAATAGTTTTTTGTTGTTTAAAAATATTAAGCAACTGTTTTAAAATCTGTTTTTTAAACTGATTCTTACTAATACTCATGCACCTAATACAACTTATTACCTTTATAGTGAATTTAATAAAAAAAGTACTTTAACTTATTTTTTTGAATAAAAAGTAAAAAAAAGTTCAACTCTCGAATCTGCAGAAATAAAACTTTAAATAATTAAGATAACGCCCGCTATATGGAAAAAATATCTGGGTTCAATAAAGGATTTCCTGTCAAAAACCCAAACTAATCTAGACATAACCCAGACTTATGGGACCCAGTTATATCCCGATGACAAAACCATGGTGAGACCAATGTGGGATACCCATGTGAGCCCCACCATTTTCCTAAGTTGGGTCTCAGCTGAGACCCAATTGCGCTGGTATAATGGGTAGGTTATATAGAAGACCTAAGTACATTTATAATAACATTTAATTTCTATATTTAGTAAAACTAAAATTAAATATTGAGTTAATTAATTAGTTAAATTTATATTAATTAGTTAAATTCAAATTAATTAGAATTTTATTACATTTTCATTATTTTTTTTCAACATAAATTATTAAATACGAATCTAAACTATTTATAACTATTACAAACATAAAATTATAATTACAAAATTATTAAAAATTAACAAATATTTTATAAATAGAAGTTGCTTACTTGTAGTTTTAAACAAAAAACCTTACCTGAACTTTCTATCACCTCAGAACTGATACCGTAACACTGATCACAAGTAGTTAAATTGTTACATTCCCTTGTTCTCTTGACAAACTTATATGAATCATTACAACTCATCCAATTGTTCCATTGTGCCCAAGAAGCTAAAAACAAAAATATCTTTTATTTTATTCATGGCCTATTATAGTGACAGACCATGTAAACATACCACTTTTGAAAAAAGTAGGCATGTTTTTTTACGAATGTAGGTGAGTAAACTGTAGTCACTAAATAGTAAACTTTAAGTGAGTTATTTTTTTATGAATGCACTACTTATATTTTGGTTTTTAATAAATAATGAGTTGTTAAGAATAGCAATATTTTTTTATAACTTATTATTTATTAAATTATTCAGTAAGATATAATGTGATAAAAACATTTTTTTCTAAACAATTTTTCAAAATAAAAATACAATTAGTTAATATATATATATATATATATATATATATATATATATATATATATATATATATATATATATATATATATATATATATATATATATATATATAAAAATCTCTATATATTTATATATAGAGATTTATATAAAGTTCCGTGGTGGTTCCACAGACATTAATATCCCCTTGACAATGTTAGATAAAAATGGCAGTCGAATTCCTATTGAAGATGTATCCGTTGAAAGAACATTGGGTGTTCTGATACATAATAAACTGAAATGGTCAGATCAGATTAGTGAAAGATGGTCAGATCAGATTAGTGATGTTCGTGAACCTCTATACAGCATATGTAAGACCAATTTTGGAGTACTGTGCACCAATTTGGTGCCCTTTTCTTCTAAAGGACATTAAAAAGTCGGTCCAACAAAGAGCTACCAAACTCGTTCCACAATTTCGCAGCTTGAATTACAAGAAACGATTAGCATATCTTGGTCTCAGCTCTTTAGCTGAACGTCGAACAAAAGGAGATGTAATTCAATTTTTTAAAATTTATAAAAAATTAAATATTGTTAACTGGCAACAGCAGATTAACAGAGCAAGTGCACTCCTATGTGATGGTCCTGCAGGTCATCTTCGTGATGCCAAGCATAGAATTGATCAAGAATTATCGAAAAACTCTCAAAGACATAACTTCTTTAGAAACCGAGTGGTGTCATCATGGAACGCTTTGCCTGCTTCGCTAGTTGCTGCGAATTCAGTTGATGTATATATATATATATATATATATATATATATATATATATATATATATATATATATATATATATATATATATATATACATATATATATATATATATACACATATAAATCTCTATACATTTATAAATCTCTATATATAATAATGGTTAGGAGGGATAGTATTTTTAATTTTTTAGTTGAAGTATCTTCAACTAGAGGATCTTCTCTACTGACATAGAGGATCTTCTCTACTGATTTTTCAGACAAATTGCTTTCAATAACTGGAAGATTATGAAACAAATCAAATAAAATATCATTATGCATTACATAATTAAATTTGTCACACAAATGGCATGGTGAAACTTCTAAACCATTACTTTTTGTCATATTTGCTGAATATTTATAAAATAGGTACCACCTAATTCTCATTAAAAAATGTGGTGTCGTCAATATTTTTTTTGGATAGATGAGTTTTTAAAGCGGCTACAGCAAAGATCCAAAAATCAAGAAAAAACGGAGTCAAAGAAAAACCAAGAAAAAAACTCCGCCGGAGTTAAGAAAAAATTTGAGTTTCGATAATATTTTGTTATAAAATAAAAAATTAAACTATTTAATTTATAATTAAACATTGTTCATGTATTTTTATTTTTTTAATATTACATATTTTAATTTATGGTTCATTAAAAATTAAAAAAAAAGACTTATATTTCTTTATTTCTTAGTACTTAAGTATTTTTTCAACCACAATTCTTTCACAAACAGGTTTTATCTACGAAATGGCTTGAATTCTGTGGAGGGCAATTTTTTTGATCAAACAATTTTGCAGCAGAAACTTGATATCTTTTTTTGAAGCATGAAAAAGTGTAATTTTTTTTTTTTGGATACCAACATATGTTTTTACAATTTTTGTAACTGGAGATTAACGCCTCTGCAAATTTAGAACTGATGTCAGTTTCTACAATCTTCAATTTGCTAACTAACGTTTCTTTAACAATGTCACACTCCAAAACTATTGTATTTTATTTTTCCAAGTGAAATGCAGCAATGACTTTTAATAAATCAATGATTTCAAAAAATCAATTAACATGTTAAGGCAGTATAGTTCCTTGGTTGTCTTTTTTTACACCTTCTTAGCTGTGAAAAAAAAATACATCCAAAAATACATCCAAAGAACTTCAATGTTTCTTTAAAAGTTATTCAATATTTTTTCATATTCAATCTTTTCCTCAGAATAATTAATAAGCAATTCTCCATCAGTCTCTCTATCAGTTTCCACTTCTGCTTTAATATGCAGAGCAAATTACGTAATATTTAAGAAAGGTGAAATTTTCATCTCCCTAATGGCAATTTCACCTTTCTTAAGCAATATGTGAAGTCATGGTGAACATTTAAATAATAGTATCTTCTACCTCTATTGTTACACCCTTCTTCACCTGTTAATACTCAGATATTTATTTTTAATTTAATTAAATTAAATAACTTAGCTTTGAGTTAGCTAATGTAAATACACTTATGTAAATACATTAATGTAAATACACTTTAACTATAAGATAAATAAACTTTATACTTTTACTTTTCATTTTTGTTTGTTTTTGAAATTAAGTTTTTAATACTATAAAATTCTATTATAAAATGATATTTTTTAAAAACTTTGTTGAAGTTTTGTTGAAGTTTCTTGATTTTTATCGAACTCAGAAACTCTGAAAAATCAAGAAAAATCTGACGAGACGGAGTTTCGAATGGATCCTTCAGTCATCACAAAATACTCTTAAACAAGTAAACACATTTGGACGTTTAAATAGTTTAGGAAAAATTGCAGTTTCATTAAGTTTACATATTTCTACTTGAAAAAGGTTTTTAAAGGTCTGATCATTTTGCAGTTCTTGAAATACCTTTGTATATTGTTGCCAATAGATTTTATTAAATGAACAAAGTCATATAGAAGGAAAATGTTATCATTAGTGCACTATGTACTACAGAGATTAAACATTTGAAAAAACTTTTTATTTTACTTTGTTATTGTCACAAAAAATAACAACAACAGAAACAATTTTTTATTGTTTCAACTGTTTGCTTTGTTTGATCATATTAAAAATTAGGGTCTAAACCTGTTAATGGTAATGCTTTATAAAAAAACTGTTTTCCACCAAATAAAGAACAAACCATAAAACCTAAAACTGTTTTGGCTAATTAATTTGGGGAAATTACAGATTTACCAAAAACGTTACCTCTTTGATATGTTAACTGTAAAAATCATCCCAATCATTTCTAACTTTAGAAGTCAACTTTGAATCAAAGATATACTTGGTAGTTCGTAGTAATCACGTAACCAAGAGTAAAGTGTTCTTGACAATGAAAAGTACTCAAAGGCCCTGACAAACATATCAGGAGAATACTTTTTTTCACCAATAAACATTGAGGAGTTTATACTTAATCTGTTCAATAATAATACTTTTCATGTGGTCAAATGGTAAAAAATTCAGATGTATTGCAGCATAGAGACGACTTATACAGTAAATAATATTCATATAATTATAAGAAAAAGGGTTCATGGTGCACTTTACACCACAGTGATAGCTATTAAGGGATGAATCATTTTTTATTTCAAAATAAACATTGGAAAACCCAAGTTGTCAAATATATCAGCAGATTGAAGATCTAAACAATTTTCATAGAGAAGTAAAAAAATTATTTTTAGACAATATTTTATTACACAAATCTTCGAACAATGAAAAATCATCTGCTCTCACAAAAAGTCTCTGTTTCATCAGGCATGTTACTTAGTAAAGATGGAAATTATTTAGTAGTTTGACTTGGTGATGCCAGTGGAATCGGAATTTAACTTGGATTTACACAAGACAATACAGATGGAGGATGTTATGGTTTAATATTCTGTTAACTAAAACTTTTTTATAGTCCTATCAGGCTTTCATAAGTAAAAGTATCTTCACAAATAAAAGTATTTAAGCTATATGGAATATTATCTCAAGGTATAGCACTCGTCCATCTTTTTTGTTCATACACAATTTTTTTATTTGAAAGACAAACACTTTCACAGACTTTGTAACATATCATAGTTATCTCTGCATCCAGTGTCACAACACTTAAAAACTACATTATTTAAATCTAAATATTTAGCTCTAAAAAGAAAGCAAATTTAATATACATAAAGTTCATTGCAAAATAAAATTAAAAGACCACTTTTTTTTTGGAATGCGTTATATTACAAATTAATAATTTGAAATTTATATTAAGAAAACATGCCTACAATTTTATTTTAAGCTTTAAATTTACTTGGCCTGTCAGCCATGATTTTATTACATTTTATTTACATCATATTTCATCATAATAAAATTATTTTTTTTTTAATTAAATAGGAAACTAATAAGAGAATATTGAATTAATATAATTGGCTCAGCATTATAACTTTTATTCATAATAAAAAGTAACTTGACATGGATATTGTAATGATAACTTATGTAATACTTTATTTACTAGGTAAATATTGTAATGTAGTCAATACAAGACAAATTTTTTAAATTATGGAATTTTACTAATTTCAATAATATTGATGCAATGAATATTTGTAAGTTTTCTAAAAAACCTCTTCTTTCATGTTACACATAAAAAAAAGAGTCAATACCTCTTTATTTGGTTTAATTTAACTCAAACAAAACTTATTATGATAACTTATTTCTTGCATTGCGTGCATAAAAAGCATATTACTCTTATAACCCTAAACACTAAAAATAATCATAAACTGAAATATTTATTGCAATGTAAACAAACACATAATACTACATGTAACATATACAAGTTATTGTAAACCTATACATAATAAAATGATACAAGATTTATGAAAAACTTTAAAAATCAAAATTACCTTGATATAATTCACATAACTTAACCTCAGTAAAGTTTCCAGAGCAGTTAAAGAATTGATAGTTGCTACAATTACGAGTTCTAGTTATGATGCAAGATGCATCGCACAGAGACCACTCACTCCATTGTGACCATAAAACTATGAAATAAATCAAATAAATAACAAGCTAAAAAGTTACTTCAAAATTTTTTTTAAAAAGTTTAAAAAAAAATTTTAAAGAAAAATTTGAATTAAAGAAAAAAACGTTTGTAGAGTTCCAAAGCATCAAAGTGTGAGGATAAAATATAGACGAATAAAAGTTTTTAGAGAATGCAAAGAGATATACAGTAAAAGGATGCAACTTTGATGAATGACTAGTCAAGCAAGAATGAGATTTGATTGAATGAATTAGAGATGATTGAACAGCGACCATGAATTCTGATTGATTGAATCATGATTGCGCCTTTAAGCAGTGACCAAGAATTTGTAGAAAAGAGAAAGAGATGCAACTTAACTATAATAAATAAGAAGCTCATAAAGCAGATAAAGCAGGTCAAACTATACTTACAATGCTTTTTTGCACATTGTCTAGAAGAGAAAGAGTCTCACTAGAAGAACCACCCCAAATGTGACAACATTCCATTAAGGGAAGTATAAGTATATGGTTTCCATGAGAAATCAGTAGTAAAAAATAATTTAAGAAGTCATAAAGAGGAGAGCTTGGTGAGAGGTTTGCTGATGTAGGAACATCAACAATATTACTATAACTGAGTTTTGTTGGAGTTAGAATTCACAAGCCACTGCAAGCCCCAAGCTGATTCAGAAAAGAAATTCAAGATTGGCTACCTGTTTTAAGAGATCAAAAAGAGAAAAGCTTTTGTCAAGACAAAAGTATAAAGTTGAGCAGTTAGCAAATAGAGTCACTCTAGATGTTCAGGAAGATCAACAATGTAAATGAAAAAAACATTACAGGACCAAAGAAGAACCTTAAGATACCTCAGAAATTACTGGAAATGAAGAAAAGTGGATGACTTTAATACTGCAGTTAGAAAGATTTAGATTTGATAAACTATTTTTCTCCAGATACACCATATGAACCTATGAGTTATATGATATGAGCTTATGGAGAAGACCAGCATGCCAAACTTTATGGAAAGCTAAAGATAATTCAAATACAATCGCCACCTCCACCTAATGCACAATAGAATTTTTTAGTCACAGGAGTCAGCAAGTCAGCCGAAAAGCTAAAATATCGAAAACCATTTTAATTGTCAGAAATTATTAGATTCAAGATAGGATGTTAGAAATTCATTGATCAAAGACTCAATGATCTTCCTAATAACAAAGAGATGACTGGTTTGAGGATATATAGAGAGGTCAGAATGTTCTCCAGTTTACAGTCAAAATAAATTTTAAGGCTTGATATTTAAAACATTGAAAACTAGATTTTAAATCAATTCTTTTTTTTTTTTTACTGTTATGTTTACCTAACAGTTAATATAGTTCATAGAAATGTGAATTTACGTAAGTTATATTGAATGAATTTCAGCATGTAATTTTTTTTATCAAGGAAATATAAAGTTTCATATTATATTTCATAAAAACAAATGCACATGCTGATATATGCACATAAATTTATACCTCTGTTAGTCATCATCATAAATTTCTGTTATGCAAGTTATTAGGCTATTATTAAAGTTATTTTTTATGTGAAAAATGTGTTATTTTAAATCTATTATTGATCATATTATTATTGATGTATTATTATTATTATTGATATTATTGTTGATCTATTATTAATCTATTCAGCTTCTACATGTTAAAAGCTCTTAAATACAATTTAAATTTACTTTTACAGATGCAATCTACAGAATTAATAATTTTGCTTAAGCACAATTAATTTTCAAGAGCTTTTGTGTGTAATGTCTAAGTAGATTTTTCACAAAAAATTGTGTAAGCAAGTTTTAAAATGCTAGTAAGTAAAAATTTAATTTCGACAAGAAAACTTGATGTGGACCACATGCGCTATTAAATAATGACTACACTTGATCTATGAGATAGTATAAATTTGGGCTATAAGCGGCGATGGTATTTATACCATTTAGGTGGTAGTCACATATGGCCCACATGTGGGTATAATACTTAAACCACTTAAGTGTAACAAATACCATAACCACAAATGAGCCATATCTATGCTATCCCATAAATTGAGCGTGGTTATCACATGTACATAAAATCTTATTGTCCAGATTAAGTTTTTTTTTTTTCAGGTCCTTTCATTACTTTTATTACTAATTTATGTTTAAAAAAATTTTGTACCTATTTTTGGTATTGTTATAAAAAATTTTATTTACCCTTATTTATTTTAACTTTTTTATTTCTACATAGTCATAGTATTTTTATTATTTTTTCATGGATACGCTTAAATTCATATTGTAAAGTTTATTATTCTCATTTTATTTAATTTTTTATTATTATAACAAAACTGAAAAGAAAATAGCTGAAAACTGAGAAAAATTTTTATTGATGAAATATTTTTTTTAAAAAGTGCAACATTAAATAATTTTAAAATTGCAACTGTTTATTGAAAAACTTTTTTTTTTGTCAATTCCCTTAGTTTTTTAAGTTTTTTAATTGGAAAACTATAGTAGGTTACTTAACAGGCATTATAATATTTTGACGATTTAAACCTGTTGGTTTTGAATTATAATAATATCCTAATTATAGCAATAACTAACAAAAATCTGTTTTATTTCTTTCTTTTTTATTCAAACTATGAATTTAATAATTATCATTAAATACATTATTTAAATAAAGGAAAAAAAAATGCCGTAGGAAAAAATAAAGCAGTAAAAATTAAACAAAAATTCATATTGTTTAAACTAAAAAAAAAAAACATTACACCTAAAAATGCCATAAAAATCTCAACTTTAATTAACTTTTGGATTTTGCTTTTTTATGCAAAAGAGGAGAACATTGATCTATATAAATATAAATTATATTTATATAGATCAATGTTCTCCTTTTTTTATAGAAATTTATATAAGATATATATATAAATTTCTGTAATATGTATAAATAAAATTTGAAAATAATATATAATACATTTAAAAAATCATACAACCGATATATTGCTTATATTTTTTTAAAAATTATATATAACAAAATATATAAAACAATATATAATATAAGATAAAAACAAGCAAATAAATAAAATTAAAAAAATTAAAAAAGCATTTAAACTTAAAAATAATTAAAACTAAAATAATAAAAATTATTAGTAGTTATAAAAAAACTTTCATCTTTGACAATAACTTTAAAAAAATATTATTTATTGCATTATATATAACTTAAACAGTATTAACAATGCTAAGGTATAATAAAAATGATTTTTTTTTTTACCTTCAAAATTTTGTTCATCAAAACACTCCATTATATCAGTGCTGTTACCAATACAAAAATCGGTAGCATTTATCAATCTACATTTTCTAGTTCTGTTCATAAATCTATATCCATTAATATGATTACAACTTGACCATGTGCTCCATTGTTCCCAAACTAGAAATAAATTAAAATATAAGATTAAATTTAAAAAATTGTCAATATTATCAAGCTCAGTTTAAAATTTCAAGCTGAAAATTACATTTTCAAAAATTAATCAAATATGGATTTCTTAAAAGTGAAACATTTAAATCAAAATAATGTAGCTATGCCAGCCCATTAAACTTTTTTTTCTCTAACATCTAAATATATTATTCACAAATAAAATACACTACTGAAAAATTTTTTTATGATGAAAGATTTTAAATACTCATTCACCACACCTTGAAAAATACATGATCAACCTCATCTGAAAGGACCAAAAAAATCTTTCTATTGAAGCATTATATTGACCTTATGAGTCTTTTACAATAATGGTTACATGAGTGTTCTACTATGTAATACCAACAATATTTTATTATAATTGTTTTGTCGGTACATGTACCATTTTTATTTTATCAAACCAAAATATTGATTTGCTATTTAAAGTCTGATTTGGCTTATGCATAGCAATAAAACCACAGCATTTTTTAAGGTATAAACTACTGTCAAAATGCATAAAAATGCTAAAAAATGGTTGAAAAGATTTTCTAGGGACACCTACATAGAACATAAAAAATACTTGTTTCTTATAAAACAGAAAAACTGTGAGAAAATCAAATATATTTTATATTGACTTTAAAAATTTAGATCACTAAGATAACTGAATTCTGAAATAATTGGAGGACCTGGGTCCCATGAAAAATAATATTTACAGATAAGAGTTGTTTTGAAACAAAATTTTTAAAAATTTGATAAAAATAATTGCAGAAGCAATCTCAAAACTAAAAAAAAAATACAGTGAAAATTGGCCTTTAAAATTAAAAATAATTGTTTCAGTCACCAATAAAAACCAAAACTTTCAGTGTAAACAGGCTTTAAAAATTGTCAACCAAGTAAATCTTGAATTGTCAAAAATGAACTTTTGGTTAATTTCTCACCAAAGTATAAAACTTATATCAGCATATTAAATCCTATTGAAATAATGATAAAAAAAGCTGTTAGAAAATGCGCATTTCACTGCAAGCCACGCTATAATTAAATAGATTTATGAGCATTTTGTAAAAAATGTTAGTTATTATTGTATGTATTTTAATGTTTGAGGAGCTATTTGCAAAATGCACAAAAATAAGAGCAAATTGATTTTCGAAAAGCGTTGAAAAAATAAACTAACCATGGTTGAGTGTCAACAAAAGTTATTATTTTTTTAGGAAATTCAGAACAATTAATTTTTTTTTAAACTTGTCACTAACACATTTAAAAAAAAATTTTCTGCAAAATTACATTAAGTAATGACAGTATTATTTAAAAATAAACAAAGTCAAATAATTTCTCTTAATAAAATGTCATTGAAACAGTTAGAAAAACCTAAAAAAAATTCTGAACAACTATCTACAAAATTTTCCTGCATCTTTACTTTCAATTGCTAAAGCATCTGAATCTAAAGCATCTGAAAAGGTGAGAAAATTCTCTTGTGGCAAGCAATATGCAGCTGCAGTCATTAACCTAAGAAGATTGTAGAGTGGTTGGAGACATCAAACTCATAGCCACCAAACTGCCCACAGTTCCATTTCATTGAGAAATTTTGAGAAAATGGCAAGAGATATTTGCATAAGAGTGGCAAAACAATAAGTACAGCTAAAGATTTGATTAGAGTAAGAAAATGAGTAGGAAAAAAAAATTCCAAAGACACTGTTCAAAAGTTGATATTGCTAATTGGCATAAAGGTTCAAAATAATGAAAAGTATTTTATAATCATTTTTATAATCTTCAAGTTCCTTAGATTAGAAGTGTTTGCATTAGTTTAATTATTTTTTTCAATTTTTTTTTTTATTATTGATCCAAATTTAGTGATTACATGCTTTATGCCAACTGTAAAAGACCAAGATCAATATTAGTGGTTCTTGGTTACCACAAGTACCCAAGAATCACTGATATTGATCTTAGTCTTTAAAAAGAAGGAAATGAAGTACTCCACTCTTCATTTGATTTAAAGTCAATACAGGTGAGACCTGATAAAAAAAAAAAGCTGATGTGTTGCTGCCGAATTGGTCATTCAAATTTGCAAGAAAAAAATCCTCTTAAAGAGCAAACTGTCATTGATAAAGAATGAAGTTTACATTGCAGCACATGAAAAATGTTTACCCCACCAATTTTCTCAAACTAAGTCGAGGAAAACCTTTACCAGCAAAAGATACCAAAGCAGCCAAACAAGATGCATCTCAAGATATTTCCAATAAAGAATTATCTCAAAAGGAACTATTAATAGATATATAACTATATCTGCCAGGCCTCCAAAAACATGAACGCTCCAGTAAACATTTTACTTAAATAATTTTTATATATAAATTGAAAGAAAAACTTGACTATTAAGAAATGAGACTAGATAGATTTTAGGAAGTATATTTTTGACAAGTTTTTAATCTTTTTAAAAACTAATATTTAAAATTTTTACACAAATTCTCTCAAAGCCTATTATAAACATAAAATATGTTTTTGCTTTAAATCAAAGTAGTGGCCAGCCACCATCAAGTACTCCATAATTGATCAAGACCACCTTGTAAATGTATAACTACAGTCTTTCACAAGAATAGGTGCGATCGCACGTCTTTATATGACCACGCAAAAAATAATTTGCTTTGATGATTTGACCACGGCTTTTGACATATTTTCAAAATTTAAAAATGTGCTACAAAAACTTACCTAAAGTTATCTAAAAAAAAAACTTTAAAAAATCTTAACAAATTAGAAAATTAAAAAAAAAATAGCCCAACTAAAACAAAACTCATCAAACTAAAACTTAATTTACGCATTAAAAAACCATTTCATTCTTTGTTTTAACATTTGTACTTTGTTTTTTTTATTTAATATGTTTCAAAAGATAAACTATTCTCATACAAAATACATGATTATATAAATCAAAAACAACAGTTTATTACTACTAATTTAAACATTAGAAGAGTTTTGTTACTTCATTAGAAGAGTTTTGTTACTTCATTGAAAAGCATTTTGATAATATAAAAGCATTTACGATCAAACTTATTTAGTTGTAACAGCTTTCTAAAACATTTGTCTTTTTCTTTTCAACAAAATTTTTTTTATCTTTTTAAATGTTATTCTTATATTAAAATTTGTTAAAGAGACTTTCGTTGTCGCAAAATGTCATCGTTTATAAAAACAAAACAATTTTTTTATTTTTTAAACAAATTATATATTATGAATTAAAAAAATATATACAACTGTCAACTATATTTAAAAAAAAAACCATTATCAGTAAATTCTTACTTTATTTAAAGGCGTTTCGCTAATATAAAAACATTTGTTAAAAGTTTTGATGTAATTTATTTCACATAAGGTGTAATTCAGAATATTTTAAATTATTTTTTTAAATAGCCGTGGTCAAATCGTCATAGCAAAATGTAATTTGCCTGGTCATATAAAGACATGTGATTGCACATCTTCACGTGAAAGACTGAATTAAATACGGGCCTGTCAAACAATGGATTGAAGAAACTTGTCAGAACTCTAAACCAAACATCATGCAGCAAGATGGTAGAGCCAAAATTTAACATAAGTTTTTAAAGAGCAGGTCAACACTTAAGTGGTTCCTTCACCAGCAGTGACTTAAAAATCATTGACAGAAAATGAGATTTTCCGTTGTTGTTTACTGCAATGACAGTTCAGTTGTTGCTCACTGCAACGATTAATCAAATCTTTTTACTCAACCTTTGTAATTAAGTGCAGTGAAAATAATATTGGAAGTAAGAAATTCACAATATACAATACCACATATGCCCCACCATCCTGAAAGTATTTTTTATAGAAAAACTTCAAATCAGTATTAGCTTTTGAGTAGAACTATTGTGCTTTCTGGCATAAAGTACCTACTTCTCAATAACTGATAACATTGTTAAGTCAACTCATAGTATGCTTCTTAAAAAAGAAAAAATAGTCTTAACGCTGTTTTTGGAAATTCGAGTCAAATCAAGAGGAGTCCAAACTCCTAGTTTTAAACCACAGCCAAACCATATAGTAACGTAAACAAGATTTATTACATTACATACATAATTTCTGTTATTATTACATAACTGAGTAACATTTTACATGATACATAACATTGTAATGTAACATTACATGCAAAATGTTTGTTCGTTGTATTTAACTGAGATGCAATATTGTAACGTAACAAGACATAACATAATAACATAACGATACATGCAAAATGTTTGTTATTTTTACATAACCAAGACAAAACATATTATATAACAATATGTAAAATTTTGACCTAATCTTCAATTAACAATTAAACCTAAACTAGAAACACGGACCAAGGTATAAAAAATATATACTAATGAATCTTTTAATATACTTTTAAGAAAATCTCAGGAGTAATTTAATGAAACCTGTCCTTTAGAAGTCATAAAAATTAAAATAAATAAGAAACATTGACCACCTCTACTTAAAATAGTAATTATAATAACTAAAAAATAAATAATAAAATAAATAAATACTAGTAATAACTAATAGTTATTAATATCAATAATTAATAATTATTAATATCAATTATTAGTATCAATAACACTGATATACTCTGTGAATTATATGAATTAGTATCAATAATTAATATTAAAAACACTGATATATTCTGTAAAATATAAATCTCGGAAGAGTTCAATAAATACTTTATAAACATTGGTGCAAATCTTGCTAAAATTATTCAAATATCTAATTCATCTAGAAATTACCTGAAAACCCGTAAATTACGCAAATAATATATCACTATATATATATATATATATATATATATATATATATATATATATATATATATATATATATATATATATATATATATATATATATATATATATATATATATATATATATATATATATATATATATATATATATATATATATATATATATATATATATATATATATATATATATATATATATATATATATATATATATATAT